GAAGGAAGGAAGGATCTCAACTTTGGAGACCTCTGGAACTCCCTCAGTGTCCTTTGGGCAAAGGAGGGTTCAGAGATGAAGGCTAAAGTACAGAAGACTAATGCCATGATGTTATAGTATTAAGGATTTTCCTTAATCTACGAAAATATAGGGACATTCCGACAATGGAGGCCTTCCAAATGGACATCAATAAAAAGAACCTATAACAAAATATAGTGGCAAATGTCAGGAGTGGATGACATATAACAGATGCTGATGTTAAAAGATGCAGGAGCATGAGTCAGTTCACACAAAGAGTAAAACCTATTAGCAAAGTAACAGAGTTCAGTGTAAGTGTTTAGAGCTGGAACTGAATGATAATGTTCCACACCCTGAGAGAGCATGTAACTGCCAATCAAGTGCCACACCCATCCTGATAGAAACCACTCTCCTTGTTTACACCCTCTTAGGACTACCCTAGATATTCAACTAGATATCCCACCTTGGTCTTCTCTGTAGGTACTCACAGGCCCCTGATAAGATACTCCCTCCCAAACTTTGTTCCTTTGGGGTTCCCCAAAAGTATGTAGTCCAAACCCCACCTGGGACTCCAAAATGGTGGTCAAAACTTATACCAAAAGATACAACCAAGAACCAAACTCCAAATGCCCAGGTCCCATCCTGAAATTACAAACAATTTATTTAAAAAAAAATATGTCTCTCCTAAAGATCATGAATCCTATAGCATGTATCCCAAGTGAATACAATTTAGATGAAGCTCAAGGTGTGGGATTCAAAAGAACAATTAAAAGCAGGCTCGTGAGATCAAGGAGTTCAAAGAAGATTAAACCCCTGAATGAACTTAAAGAAGACAGGAGTAAACACCTGACTGAAATAAAAAAATCACAGTTGGCTAGGTATGCATACAGCAGAAGACTGTGTCTAGAAAACACAAAGAACTCAAAGAAGAAAACACCAAGAAAAGAAGGAACACAATCAAGGAATGCACTGTAGATTTGAACAGACAAATCCCTAAAGAAGAAATACAAATATCTGCCAGCATTTTGAAAAATGTTCAATGTCAGTGACCATCAGGAAAATGAAAGTTAAAACCATTTTGAGATTCTATCTTACTGGCTCTGTGTATGACAGAGTGATACTAAAATAAGCTTTCCCAGGACATGGCAGGGGTAATGTGTGAAAAAAGGGCTGAGAAAGAGGATGATGGAACTGAAGACTTAGAAAGAATGACTTCCTTGGTCAGCCTACCTAGGGGAGAAGGAGGGAATGAAGCTGATGATCCTCAGAGGGCCCCTACAGCCTGCTACCATGGGAGCTGAGCGGGGCCCTGGAGGCAACACCTTGAAATGAGACAAAGGACTCTGGCAGATCTCTCTTAACTATATTTATTTGTATTTTTCACCTTATTTATTACAAAAAAGTATTATTAAGATATATGTGGAAATTTTAAAATTCAAAGTGTAACATTCGAGAACTTGTACAACATGAACCCACACATGTAGTCACCTCCCAGATCAAAAAACATATTATTATCTGCAACTCAGAAGCATCTCCTGTTGCCCCATTGTGAGCCACAGGTACATCCTGAGTGGCAACCACAACCTTTTGTTTCTAGCAAAAGAATAAGCATTACATTTCTTCATCAAAAAAAAAAAAAGAAGAAGATTCAATCTAATCCCAAGCAGAATGGTTATCATCAAGAAGCCAAAGAAATGCTGTAAAGATATTGGGAAAGAGGAACACTCATTTACTGTTCTTTGTGAGAATGCAAACTGATACTATTGTTATAGAAAACGGTATGGTGATTCCTCAGAAAATGAGATAGAACTGTTATAGTAAGTATACTGGCTAGCTTTATATCAACTTGAAACAAGCTAGTGTCATCAGAGGGGAAGGAGCCTCTACTGAGAAAATTCCTCCATAAGATAAGGCTGTATACAAGTCTGTGGGGCATTTTCTCATTTAGTGATTGATGGGAAGGGCCCAGCCCATTATGAGTGGTACCATCTTTAGGCTGATAGTTTTGGATTCTATAACAAAGCGAGTTGAGCAAGCCATAAAGAACAATCCAGTAAGCAGCCCTCCTCTGTGGTCTCTGCATCAGCCCATGCCTCCAGGTTCCTGCCCTATTTGAATTCCTGTCGTGACTTCCTTTGATAATGACCTGTGATGTGGAAGCATAAGATGAATAAACCGTTTCTTCCCCAAGTTGCTTTGATCATGTTGTCTCATCACAGCAATAGTAGTTTTAACTATGAGAGCACCTGACTATACCATGCCTTGTCATGTATGCTAAAGACTTTATGTGCTACTAAAAAGAATCCTTTATTATCCATGTTAATTGCTGCCATTCTATTCACAATAACTAGAATAGGGAATCAGCCTAGAAGTCCATCAACTGATGGGTGGACAGTAAAACATTGTACATATATACAGTGGGACTAATTCAGTTGTGAAGGAAAATTATATTGTGAAATTTTCATGTCAATGGCTGGAACTGGAAAAAAATATATTGAGGGAGGAAACCCAGGAACAACAAAGAGGCAAATCCCATATGTTCTGCTCCATTTGTGGATTCTAGTTTAAAATCTACATGAATTACTTGTGGGAGGCAAGACATTAGAGAGAGGTCGTTGGGAGGAATATGCCTTAATGGAGGCAAAATATTGAAATGAAGGAAATATGAAAGTACAAAAAGGGACATGAGGGTAGAAAGGAGGAGGTGTGATGGAGGAATAGGGAAATAAGAACAGAAAAAGAGGGTTAATCAAATTTAAGGGTATAGAGAAATCTAATATAACTAAACTTTAAAACATTATTTTTGAAAAAAGGAGTGCAGCAGAGCTACATTATGTACTGGGGGAGGCTGCTTTGAGGATCCATGGGGTGTTAAAAAAAAATTACCTGCCAGACATGCTATAACTCTTTATGAGTTATTGGTCAAGGAATCCCCAGGGCCCCAAAACAATACAGATTCTTGTCATTCCTTCTGTTTTTTTCATCATAACCACATGTTCAGACCCTATTGCTGAAAACATCCCACACCTTGAGTGTACAAATCACAAAGAACAAGCTAGTACCAAGGTGGAAGAATCCTCCCTTTTAGGGCTAGCTTTTGCAATCCCAGAAGGTGCTATGCAGGATCCTGAGGGACAAACCACATCCATGGTCTTACCCAGCTATGAATCCTGCAATCTATGAGAGCAACCTTACAGGTAAGAAATGCACACTTGTGCAATAGTGGCAGTATCGTTACAGGGGAACTGACTGCTTTCTGGTTGGATTTGAAGCCCACTACATATGAAGGAATACTTGCCTAGTGCTGGATCAGATCAAACACACAAGATTACGGAGATCATATGCCCTGTGGTGAAACTGAATTCAGTTGTTGAACTAAATTGACAGCATAGTGCTGCTCTCTGAATATTTATGTACTAGTTGTGAACATTACATTGAGCCTTAATGAGAGAAGCTTCTCTTTCAAGTCAATAAAAGAAGAAAATCATTACCAGACAAGGTACTGAGACTGGGTAAAGGTTGATAGTTTCCCCCTAAGAAAGTCATTTATTCCATTTTCCCTGAGGCTCAGGTAACATTGCAGAAGGAAGAGTGGAAAGAATATAACGGCAGGAAAAAGAAGAGTTTCAAAATGACATCTCCTTGACAAGACATGGTCATTACAGTCACAGACTCAAAGCAGTTGGGAATACACATACAGATTCTACACAAAAATATTCCAATCAACAGCCAGGCATGGATGAAGGATGGATTCTGGAAGGGCTATTGCTCCCAACCAAATAATTGACTTACAGCTGATTCAAGAAGAAAAGAAACCATTGCCTTCAATCAGGTACCCACTAGTAAGTAAACCATGTCTCAGTAGGTAGTTCAGATAACCAAATAGGCATATATAATAGATGTTTCAAAACAAAACTAAAAATCATGGTCTCAAAAAGGAACTGGTAGAGAGGGAGATTGATAGAGATGGGAGGAATACTTGAAAGAGTTGGGGAGAGTCAGCAGAGTAAATAGTGTGCATATATAAAAAGATCAAAGAACAAAATTAATCAGTATTGAATGCCTGGGGCAGAGCATGGGTACTTTTGCAGTCACAGTAACAGCCAGCTCTGGGTTCAGATGACTTCTCCTTTATGACAGTTGATAAAGCTCCACACTCCATGTTATTTTTAGGGGGTAGGAGATGGGTTTAATATCTCATGTATCTTTCCCTAAATATGTCCATTGTTGATAAATTATACTTAATTGGGTTAGTTGCTCATTTTTAGACCATCTTCTTCCTACTGTGACAGACAGACACAAAAGATGGAAACTTTGCATTGCAGGAATCACGGTGACTGAGGTGCTGACAGAAATGTGCTTTTAAAGAGAGTGCCTGTGTCCATGTGCTGGCCATGTCAGGGAAAATGGCAGAAAGCTCACAATAGGAGCATGTGTGAATAGTTGGGGTGAGAGAAGAATGGGAGAAACTATAAAGAGAGGGCACTGCCTTGGCTCACTGGCTTCAAACCTCCCACACTGCAGTCTGCCAACCCACAGAGCTGACATGGAGGACCTTCATGACTCCTGTTACTGAAAAAAAAATGTGTGAGGCTCCTTGGATTCTTCACCTCAAAGGTCACAGACTAAGAAAAGTAAATAATAGCTTTGAGAAGAATACCTCAAAAATTATCTTACCTTTCCTCCATTCTTCTTATGTGAGGTCATAAGCTGGTCTGTGGCAAAGAGAAGAGTCCCCGGAGTCACCTGTCAATATGAAACACATCTGTAGTTCAGAAACTGCAGAGAGACTGGTGTTTGCGGAAGGATAATCAAGAGGGGGTAAGAAAGACCTGTGGTTTCCCATATTGGATCTAGGTGTATGAGTGTGACTCCTTTGAGTCATGCTCTTCTCAAAACTGTTCTCTATATCTGGCCTGGCTCCTAGCTCTCATCCTCTGGCCATGCCAACCCCTACAGCTCCCCTTTCCTGTTAGTGCTTCTTGCAGCCAGAAGGCCAGCATTGCCAAGCAATGTGAGCCAGTGCTGTAACATTATCTGGGTATCAGACTTATCTTCATGTTTGCAAAACTAGACCATGACTAAGCAACAGACATAAAGATAATGATCAAATTAAATGAATTTGCAAAATAGTGACTTTAGACAGGAGTCTCGGTTTTGAAACTAAAACAGTTGCTTCTGTCAGATGCCCAACCTAAGGAAGGATCTACGGAATGTGTGGTCTACAGTTTCCTGGGACAACCTCCTTGCTGCTAAGATGCCAAAGAAGATGGTCAACTCAGCACTCAGCAGCGGGGCCATGAAAAAAGAACTCAAGATGTTATCTGCAAGAGTGCTAGCTAAACCTGCTTCTGCATAGGTGGAAATGAACAAAACCAAAAAGACAGCAGAAAAGGATAAATCTTCAACAAAAACAAGCCACCAGAAAGAGAAGAGAGGAAAAGGGGAAACAGATCAAAACATAAAATCTTGTTATGCATATCTGCCTGGACCTCAAAGGTCCTGACCAGCAGAGGCAGGCAAAGCCTAGACAGAACCAACAATAAAATAACAGCCACAGGGCTATGATGAAATAATTTGGCAGATGTAATTCATTGGCAACTGTTTTAAGTAGGCGGCCTCATCAGGCTTTCACAGGATACTAAGCAGCAGACAGAATCTAGAGCAGGGCAAATGCTAGCTGGCCAGTATTTTGGATAGAACTAGTGATCCTAGATGGATTACAAGACAGACAGGCAATGCTGAGAGGTAACAACACTGAGCATGCTCAGGCCTATAGTGTAGGGATGAAGACAGTATGGTACACATGGTGATGATAAACTTATATCATGACACCAGAGGATGTAGAAGTCAGCCCAGAACAGCTTGACATTGTTAGACAAAGAAGACATCCTTACCTATACAGAATCCCAGGAGACAAGAACATTTCCTGCCAACCCCACCAAGGCATTCAGATTAGGGAAGCCCATAACCAGAGTCTCCTTATCTTGGTCTCTCAATATTTTGACAAAAGTCCTCTAATGACATTGGAATATTTGTAGTCCCAACACTCTAACCTATGTCCTAAGTCATATTATGACCTGAAAGCAGGAAAATGGTCTGAGCAGGCTCTATGAGGCAGTGGTAAGACTTAGGGCCCATTAATGCTTCTATCATGGAGCAGGGTTAGGAAACAGGAACCCTCAAATCATGATGCATGGCCACTCCCAGGAACTGGGAAGTTACATCCAAGAGATAGAAAGATATCATGATGGAGATTCATGAAGGTAATGTCATCTTTTGCAAAGACAGATGTGAGGATGGCCATACTTCCTAACTACAAAGTGACAATGGGGGCAAGAAGACCTTCATATATATTGTATATTTCAGGATTCTATTTCCATGTGAAGGCTATAGTGAATAATCATGAAATATAGGATCAACGAACAATGAAAGAAAGGAAGGAGATAAAGGCAGGAAGGAAAATGGAAGGAAAGAAGAAGTAATAGAAAACATTGTAGTTGAAAATTTTAGCCAAATCACAAATATTTAGTTGATAAATTTAGTTCTTTGACAAGTTCATACATATTCATAACACCTCTGGTTACTCTCCTCTCCCACCCTCTCTTCTTTCCCTCCCACCCTTGCCAACCCCACTTCTTATGACAACTATCTTTTGCATATTCATAACTCTCTCTGTGGTGTGTGTGTGTGTGTGTGTGTGTGTGTGTGTGTGTGTGTGTGTGTGTGTGTTAAATTAGGGTCATCTGTGTGGCCACAGTTTGGGAACTGTCTATCACTGCCCAATGGAATACATTGCTTTCCCTTCTTG